TCAGGATTGCTGCCAGACTGCACCTCTGTGTGTCTCTTTGTTTTCAGTATTTTCATGCAAATTCTTCTGCTAGTTGGAGTTTAGTCCACTTCTATATCCTTTCCTTCAAAGCTCAGGGGTCCAGGATTATTTTCTGTATCTGTGTTAATTTGTTATCCTTTTCTTTGTTGAAGAGGGTCTGTGCAGCCTTTCTGCCTATTCTGCCATCTTACTGGAACTCCTTAAATCTGTCTTTAAGTCACAGAATTTGTGTATCTAATGTCAGGAAATCAAATGTTTGTCTTATTATATAGTATATAGGGTACCTTTCTATGCATAAAAAAACAAACACTTCCAGTTATACTAAAATATCCTTAATATAATACTGCAGTAGTAGTGATAATAATCTTTTGATGCTCATTGCAAAGTAGCACCCTTTGTTATTACAAACCACCGTATGTACCTCAAATTTTTAATAAAATAGGCTTTATTGAGGTTAGTTCATAAATATATGTTTTATGTAAGTTGACATTTCTATCATAACCTGGAAACTTCCTGTATTTCTCCTTATGTCTGCTTGATGAGACTTTCCTTGTACTTTAAAGTACAGTTATATGACACCTCTTCCTTGAGAGTTTCTTTAATCTTTTCAGTATGTGTATAAGATTAATATCCTTCTGCCTTTATTATATAAAAAAAAAACAAAAAACCCAAGCCACTCCTTGGGCTCCCAAGGTGGTATCTCTATGGAAGTAGATTGTCCAATCTTCCTTCCAAGGAGTGCCTGGTGGGTTTGAACAACCAGCCTTCTTGTTAGCAGTCAAATGCCTTAGGTACTATGCCACCAGAGTTCCCTTTATTACAGTTATTAGTAAACATGTCTTATCTTCCCTACTTGTCTGAAAATTCCTTGAGGGAATATCTATGTATTAGTCTCCTTTGCATCATCCAGAAGTTCCTAGCCCAATTGCTTCCCTATATGCTTGATCAATAAATAATTGATGGATGCATGAATAAATGATCCCAGTTCTTGAGTGATAGCTCCATCTTTGTGCCTCAGGCCTTTCCTATTTTTCAAATTTGTAGAACTCCTTGTCTTCTGGACTGAATTATATAGCTCCATGTATACTGTCATCAATTAATATAGGTAGATGATCCCTGTGCTTAATGTAAAAGAAATACTGCATAAGCCCATAAAAATGCAGAGGAAACTGAGATATAAAATATAAAGGAATGAGGAATAAAATGCTATTTTTTAGGAACGCATGAAAACTTTTTTTTTTCCTCCTAGTCCTGATAACAATAGTGTTACAGCTATGATATGGCTAGTATTCAAGGCTTCCATATCAATGAAGGAAAATATGAAAAGAAGAATTGAAAACATCTTACGTCAGATGCTGAGAAACCATTTAGGATCTGTGACTACCGATCCCAATTCTCTTCAGCTCACAGGTAAGCTTATACATTAGATGGGAACAGTATTATTTTCATTCTTTTATCCCTAACACAGGTCACAAATACCAGTCAAAAAACTGATCCTCAAAATATATACTTTATTTATTGAATAAATAAATAAATTTTAT